CAATTATCCGCCTCAAATTAGATTAGTGCACCATAGAACGGCTATGGATGTGTGTTATCACTTCCCTTTCTTCCAGTACTTTTATAAAAATTAATTTGACACCCCATTCGTGTGGCGTATTATTCTTAGCAAAGCATTATCTATTTTGTGTTAGGTTTTGATTTATTCCCCTGCTCGAACTGCTAGCCAACAAGGATCAGGAAAGGTTGGGATGTGGAAAATCGATTTCATGTCCACTCAGAAGTATGTCTGTCTCACGTGCGGTCCATTTATGTTTCTGGAGTTTTGTATTAGTGCATCAGATTTTAGCAGTACATTTTTGAATGACTCTAGGTGTTTTGATCTATTTGTGAATGTATACTTCCAAAAATACCCTTGGCTGAATTGATCTTGCAGTTCTTTTCACCTTGTTAAACCAAAGACAACTAATCTAAACTGGGTCACTTTGTGGCTCTGTGATAGGAAATAAGCTGATCTTCTTTTTTAAAATTGGGCTTATTTGGCAGTTCTAAGCTAAAAAGATGGTATTTCTGCAGGCTAGGTTTTTACTTTTGATCTAATATCAATATAATAGCTTAAATACACTCCCTATACCATTCTTTCGCTCAAACATACACCGTCTAGCATTGTTTCAATGCTATTATGCCGTTGAAAGTTTAGGACACTAAACCTCCTTTTTGCAAACTGATAAATCGAAATCCTTTATAAACGGCCAAACTTCATTTTCAACCACACATTCCAATGGACTCACAAGTATTGTCCACTTATCCTCCACTTATCTGTATCTATTTATAAATTAAACCGTTTATATATTCTTTCCAACTGGAGGCTGATTGTTTTGCCCTTGCATACTTTGGCATGTAAGATGATTATCATAATTTCTCCCTCTTTTCTCATTTCTTTTTCTTTTTCTGTCTTCTTAATTTTTTCTTCAACCATCTTTCCTTGGGTTCATATAGACTGACACAGGATACAATGATATAGATATTTTTCAGATCCATCATTCCAAATCATCAGTATGAGTTGTAGAAGTCATAGAAGATAATTGCTAGAAGAAATGTTCTTCTTCTTCCCTTCAGATCAAAAAATGGATTGCCGTTCCCTTCGGGCTGGCACCCATTATTTCTCACTTTTCTTAAAGCAATTTTTCTATATATCC